AGTCATAAAGGCAGCTAATTATAAATAATAATCAGTTCCTGGTTCGTTTTCTTACCTCATGGAATTGCTATTGTATGTCCAAAGAAGGAGGTAGCTGCAAAAGCTGCTTATAGCGAAGTCTATCCTTAAATATAGTGAAATTGTAAAATAAAAGGTATTAAAATCCAGCTGAATAATAAACACCTACTCTTCCAAAATAGATTAATTGTCACATTGTCATAGTTACATTTATGGGAACATTTTATTGTGTCCACATTATTCAGGATGTGTTTTTCCATCATTTTATATTTACAGTTATACAACTTCTTCCCAACCCTCATGGAGTATTTACCTGGGCCTCATCAAAAATTGATAGAAAATGTTGAAAAAGTTAATGAATTTACTTTTGACATCATAAAAGAACACCAGAAAACCCTGGATCCCACTTGTCCTCGAGATTTTATTGATGCTTTTCTTAACAAAATGGAACAGGTAATGTAAGAGCTAAAGATTTATTGGATCAGAAGCAAACCTCTGCTTGAACCTCAGCTTGGGGTGCTGGTTAACTGAGTCAGTTGAACGTGGCGCTAACAACACCAAGCTCATGGGTTCAATTCCAGTTCGGTCCCCATGTGTTTCCTGATCTAGTCAAGAGGTGGCGTCCCTAGCGACAGGGAGGCTGGATTAAAATGACCTCTAAGGTCCCTTCCAGCCTAGGCCATTCTATGATTCTTTTCAGTTGTGGCAGGGCACTGATCTTTTTCAAATATACAGTGGAAATTGCTTGTTGTGGCACATCAACTACATTCTTACCTCTCCATTTTCTCATCCAGGATTTTTAAACACAGAATTAACAGCACTAGTCAAAGTTAGGAAGGATGAAGACCAATGCGGTTGATGTAATTAAACCCTACTCCCATATTGAAAAAGGATTACAATATTATTAAACTAAAAGTACCATAGATACTGGTGTTCTAGGGAGACTGTCATATTTTCGAAAGGACATTGGAGGTCTTTAAAAACAGGTGCAGGACTTACCTTTTTAAACCAGCTGTTTGGCATTGTCATTCACATTGTTCTGCCAAATCTTCCTCCAGGAGAAAGGGAAGAGTCACTCGGAATTCACTGTTGACAGTTTGGCCAGAACCACACTCGACTTGTTCTTTGCAGGAACAGGAACCACCAGCACCACACTGAGATATGGACTTCTGATTCTCCAGAAATACCCAGAGATAGCAGGTAATACAAAAGGAAATAAGTAATCGAAAACTTCTCAAAAGGTTGCATGATCAATCTGGGCAATTCCTGTTGCTAACGCATGTGGGAATGATCCTCTGAATAACAAAACATGTATTTGCTGTGTGGAAATGTGTGTTAGTTCTATTCACAGCGAAGAGATATTAGTACTAACTACATTTGTGCATTCCTGGTGCACTAAAAGCAAGTTTTGCTGTAAATACTGGGAGAGTGTTAGACAATCAGATGGGGAGTTGACCATTCAACACTCACTTGTCTCCTAACAGGGAAAATTCAAGAGGAGATTGATCGTGTGATTGGCCGAGACCGAAGCCCCTGCATGGCAGATCGGAGCCAGATGCCCTACACAGATGCTGCAGTCCATGAAATCCAGAGATTCATTGATTTCATTCCACTTAACGTCCCTCATGCTGTGATCAGAGACACCAAGTGCAGAGACTATTTTATCCCCAAGGTTTGTTCCACTCTATCTGAGAAAGGTCATTATCTCTTGAAAACAATCATGTGTTCTCTTCATTGTGTTGATTTTGAAAGCACTGAAACTTGATATAGAACTGGAATAATTTTGTTTGAAAGTAGATTCTGGAAATCATGGAGTCCGACTTGTATTTGAAAACAAAACAAAAACAACTTCATCCTCTGTGAAGAGATAGAACTTTTTACTTTTTTTCACATAAATGCAAGCAATCAACGTTATAATTTACTTGCAAGCAATATTAAATATTCTAGTCAGACTGACCATTAAAATTCATTTTAAAAAATCTTTGCTGCGCCAAGGGCACACTTTTTTTTTCACTAAATGCTCATTGTAAATGGGCAAAACCCTTCTATTCAGCTCTGGAAATAGAATGCCACTTTCCTTTAACATGTCTCCATTCTAAATTTCTTCTCCTCTCTTTGCTGATTCAGGACACGATGATATTCCCTATGCTGACTCCTGTCCTACATGACAGCAAGGAATTCCCAAATCCAGAAAAATATGACCCAGGACATTTCCTGAATGCAGATGGTACCTTTAGAAAGAGTGACTACTTCATGCCATTTTCTGCAGGTAAGACCTCTTCCTATTTCAGGTGCCAAAGTAACCTCTCCTAGAGGTTACTCTCTTAA